TTACTTAAAGGCTGGACTATTGTAATTCTTTACTATCAGGTAGTCAACAAACTGTAGTTAAAAGCCTTCAGCTTATTCAAAATGCTGCAGCCAGAGTTATCTTTTTTTTTTTTTTTCTAATTTCAAGTACATGATGAAACAAAACCTTAAACATAAGTGAATCAGATCATCATTTCAGATATGCTGAGAGCAACACTTAGAAGTGAGGAATTGATTGAGATTTCACAGTTTGTGGTAATTTGTGCTACACTTAAAGTATCCAGCGCTGATTGTAAAAAGAGATTTAGTTTAATGAATTATATCAAAACAGCATCCAGAAAGCCCTTCAGCTATTGGAGAAGTAAGAAGGAAAGAGGTGAAAAATATATATCATTTTAGTCAGATTCGTTAATATTCTGGTGACATTTATCACGATTTCTTATATATGGATATTAATCATGTTAGTAGAAACAAAATAAATGTGTAATATTTTACTGACAGAGTTATAGGAATTCATAAGGTATCACAAGCTTCAGCTCATTGTGCAAAATATTTACGTCTGAGAGGAAAAATACCTCAATTCTTCCAGAGAAGGACTCCCAATCATCACTTAAATTACAAGTAAACTAATGGCTGCTGTAATCTGGTATTCTTTTAATACTAAGCGTGCTATTTTTTTGTATTTATTTGCTAAAGTGTGCACATCGGATGTTGCTCACTGTGGTTTTTACTGTATGGCTTGAATGTAAGCCTGGACACATTGAAAAAATAAAATAAAATAGAGAGAATTAGTCCAGACAGACATTTCTCAACGGCTTTGCCTTTATCATACCTTATCTGAAATACATTGAGGAAAATAAGTATTTGTACAGCCTGCTATTTTGCAAGTTCTCCCACTTATAAATCATGGAGGGGTCTAAAATTGTCATCATAGGTGCATGTCCACTGGGAGAGTCATAATCTAAACAAATATCCAGAAATTACAATATATGATTTTTTTAAACTATCTATGTATGATATAGCTGCAAATATGTATTTGAACACCTGTCTGTCAGGTAGAATTCTGACCCTCAAAGACATGTTATTCTGCCTTTAAAATGTCCGCCTCCACTCAATTATTGTCCTAAATTAGATGCACCTGTTTAAGGGTCGTTAGCTGCATAAAGACACCTGTCCACCCAATACAATCAGTAAGAATCCAACTACTAACATCGCCAAGACCAAAGAGCTGTCCAAAGACATCGGAGACAAAATTGTACACCTCTACAAGGCGGGAAAGGGATACTGGGAAATTGTCAATCAGCTTGGTGAAAAAAGCTCCACTGTTGGAGCAATCATTACAAAATCGAATAAGCTACACATGATTGTCAGTCTACCTCGGACTGGGGCTCCATGCAAGATCTCACCTGGTGGGGTGTCAATTAGGGGTGGGGATTGGCAAAGAAGTCATGATTCGATTCGAATCACGATTCACATGCCACGATGCGATTCTATCACGATGCATCATGATACTTGAAATA